GTTGTCACAATAGAGCATCATTGGTTTTTCATAGTCCACCCCCAATTCCTCTAGAAGGGATCGTAGCCATAGTAATTCTAACACACCATGAGCCATTGCCCTGTATTCTGCTTCAGCTGAAGATCTAACAACTACTGATTGTTTCTTACTCTTCCAAGACAATATTCCTAGCAACTAGAGCACAATAACCAGAGGTGGACCTTCTGTCATCAGTACATCTTGCCCAATCTGCATCAGTAAAGGCTTCCAGCTTCATGTGACCTTGCTTAGCAAACAAAATACCTTTCCCTGAAGTATCTTTCAAATAACACAGAACCCTTTCTGCAGTAGCTAGATGAGTATCTCTGGGAGAATGCATAAATTGACTAATAACACTTACTGCATAGGAAATATCTGGCCGAGTCATGCAAAGGTATAACAACTTACTAAGCAGTTTCTGAAACACTCCCTAATCAGGCAAATGTTCACCATCTGTGGCAGAAAGCTTATGATTAGGATCAATGGGAGTGGAGATGGGTTTAGTGCCAAGTTTACCAGTTTCAACAAGAAGATCAAGGACATATTTGCGCTGAGATATGAAGATACCATCCTTAGATCGAGCAACTTCAATGCCCAAGAAATACCGAAGATCTCCCAAGTCTTTGATTTCAAATCCAGAGTTGAGAAATCTTTTTAGTTTGCTGGCCTCTTCAATGTCATTACCCGTGACCACAATGTTATCAACATAAACAATCAAGAAGGTCACCAGAGAGTCATTTTTCTTTAAGAATAGTGTATGATCAGATTGTGTTTGAATGTAGCCAAATGAGACGAGCAGCTCGAAATCTCTCAAACCAAGCCCGAGGAGATTGTTTGAGACCATAAATAGATCTGTGTAGTTTATACACTTTGCCTTTCATTTCTTTTCCATACACTCCTGAAGGTAGAGACATATAGACCTCTTCATGCAGGTTTCCATTCAGGAAGGCATTTTTAACATCAAACTGGTGGATGGGCTAGTCAAAAGTAGCTGCTAGAGAAAGTAAAACCCTAACTGAAGTCATCTTTGCAACAGGAGCAAATGTCTCAAGATAGTCAATGCCATACATTTGGGTGTAACCCTTAGCAACCAACCGAGCCTTAAATCTCTCAACAGAGCCATCAGAGTGATACTTAATGGTAAACATCCATTTACAACCCACTGGTTCCTTCCCTTCTGGCAAGCCCACAATATCCCAGGTATGGTTCTTATGCAATGCATCAAGTTCAGTCATCATAGCATCCCTCCATTCAGCTTGAGATAATGCTTCCGATACAGACCTGGGTATCACATGGGAAGACACAGAGGCAAGAAAGGAGTAGTAGGAAGGGGAGAAAAGGCTATAAGATAAGTGTTTGGAGATACAATGGGCTGTACACTTCCGCTTGCCCTTGCGAAGAGCAATAGGAAGGTCAAGGTCTGGGACAGTCAGAGATGGGTCAGTAGAGGGCTGACCTGTTTCCTCAGGAATGATGAGAGTGGCAAGACGCTCTTCTGAAGGAGTGGAAACAACCTACACATGTCTGAATCTCTGCCTTTGGTACCACCTTTGGATGGCAGGAGCAGAAGGAGGAGGAGGAGCTGAGATATCAGAGGTAGGTCCAATGGAAGAGGTGGACACCCCATGATCGGACTCACAAGGGATGGGAAGAGGAACGACTGGAGACACAACAAAGGGCTCATCAGATTTCTCCCCCTCAGGAGGAATACTAAARAAGGGAGTCAACTCGRCAAAGGTGACATCCCGAGATACAAAGCGGGTGCCACGAACTGGATCAAAACAGCAATAACCCTTCTGTGTGGAGGCATRTCCCAGAAACACACACTTATGAGCCTTAGGTTCAAACTTGTGCCTTTGGTGACTATGAATATGCACATAGCAAGTACAYCCAAACACAYGGAGAGGAAGAGAAAAGAGATCCTCATCCAGGAAGAGAAGACTAAAAGGAGTTTTAAAGCCAAGGACCCGGGAGGGCATACAGTTGATCAGAAATGTAGCAGTAAGAACATCTCCTCAAAACTTTACAGGAACATGGGATGCAAACAAGAGGGATCTGGCAACCTCAACCACATGCCTGTTCTTTCTTTCTGCCACCCCATTTTGTTGTGGAATGTAGGAATAAGAACTTTGATGAATAACCCCAAAAGTTTCAAGATAGGTGGAGAGGGTTCTCTCAAAATACTCCTTAGCATTGTCAGAGTGTAATATTTTGATATGAGTATTAAACTGGGTGAGGATGAGTTCATGAAAATTTTTCACAATAGCTGGTATTTCATCCCTGGATTTCATGAGATAAATCCAAGTGTAAYGTGAATAATCATCAATAAAAAGGATAAAGTACCTGTAAYCCCCCATGGTTGGCATGTGATATGGCCCCCACACATCAGAGTGAACAATATGGAAAGGAGAAAGTGATCTTTTATTGCTAATTGAATAGGAATGTCTACAATGCTTTGCCAGATCACATGATTCACAATGGAGACTCGAAGACAAGTGACCAAACTGAAAATGACATAATAAAATTTTGTTAACAGACTCTGACACGACTGACTCTAAGGCAACTCCATGAGGTGGTCCCAAAGCTTGATCTGGTGTGTCYAGCAAGTATATTTCGTTCGCCTCATGGCCACTCCCAATCATCCTCTGAGACTGCAGGTCCTGAAAAACATAATGAGTGGGAAAGAAAGTTATGCTGCAATTCATGGACTTTGTTAAGCTACTAATAGATAAGAGGTTTGTGTTAAGCTTAGGGACATGAAGAACAGAAGATAAGAACAGGGTGTCAGAAGTCTTTATATCACCTTTACCAAAGATGGGGGCAAGGGACTCATCGGCAAGGGATATTTTCTCTTTCCCAGAGAGAAGGTGATATGAGCAAAAAAGGTTAGATAGACTGGTCATATGGTCTGATGCACCGGAATCGATAATCCAAGGGATTTTATGATTATCTGAAGCTGAAGCATGATTTGCAGAAGCACGAGTACCTGAGTGAGCAAAAGCCGATGAGGATGATGTACTGTTGGAAGGGTGATCTGAAGAAACTGTAGCTTCCAGGTGATTTAGGAGTCTCCCATACTTCTCAAAATCCAGATTCATTGTAGCCAACTGTTCAATGGTTGATTTCTCTTCACTCTCCTTACTTCTCCCTTCATGTATTGTAGCAGCATTAGCAGTCTTGGGTTTTCCCACTTGACTGCCCTTCTTAGGGTTATTATTGTTCTTAAACCTATCAGGGAGAAGTCCAGGATGAAGTTTCCAGCAGGTGTTCTTTGTATGTCGTGGTTTCTTGCAATATTCACACACCTGTTCTCTCTTCTCAGTAGGGTCCTTTGGTTTCATTACCGCATGTGCAAAATGTTCTGTAGGTGGACTCTACAACTGAACCTGCCGCCTACTCTCCTCACTACTTATCATAGCATATGCCTGTGAAAGAGTAACCTCATTCCTGGCCAAAATATTCTGTCTGATAATATCAAACTTAGGGTTGAGTCCAATGAGAAACTCAAACACCCTATTTTTCTCCACCAGCTTTCTATACATTTTAGCATCATTTTTACTCTCCCATACCACTGTCTCCATAACATCAATTTCCTGCCATAGGGATTTTAGTATAGAGTAGTAGATTGCCACACTCTTCTCCCCYTGTCTCAGGTTTTTCACATCACTTTTCAATTTGTACGCTCTGGCTACATTCAGTTTCTGTGAGTAGGTCTCAGTTACACTGTTCCATATCTCTTTGGCCGAAGACATCCAGAGATATTTTTGACCTATATGGGGTTGCATAGAGTTAACCAACCATCCTGTAACAGTGTAGTTCTCTTGCATCCATTTTTCAAATTCAGGGTCTATCTCTTCGGGTTTCACCTTACTGCCAGTGAGATACCCGAGTTTTCCTCTACTACAAACATAGATTTTTATAGATTGTGCCCAAGCAAGATAGTTCGTCCCATCTAGCTTAATTGTGGTCACACCAGTCAAAACTGAATCTACTGAGGCAGGTCCAGAAACTGGCACCTGCTTGAACTCACTTCCGTATGTCTCCATTAATCAAACGGAAATCAAAGAACAAAAAATTTTGACTATGTAAACTTACTTGAAGCCAAACTAGAACTTGGGTGCTTGAAAAACTAGGGTTTTGCTCCATCCAGCAGATGAGAGGAAGAGAGAAGATGATGCTGCACCTACCAGACTAACCCAAATTCTTCCAAACCTGAACTGCCCTCCTTTAGCAGTCACAAGACACCTTCCAAGCACATAGCGCCACACTCGAGCTTCACCTTTCCTAGTAACCTCGAAAATCTCTAGTCGGCTAGGGTTTCGGGCAGCAGCAAAACAATAACACTTCTTGGCAAAATCTAGCTAGAACTAAACTCTCCAAACCCTTCTACCAACTAGGCAAATGATTCTCTATACTATAGAGAACTTATCTCTCCATACACTCTCTTGATTTTAGAGTGTACATGAACGAAGAAAAAGAAGGAAGAGGAACTAAACCTGCTCTGATACCAAGATGTAAATCAGTCATCTAATATCAAGTTTAAATTCAGTGATTAGCAGAATAAAACAGATCTGAATAACTGTATAAGAGAAGAAGATGGCGAAGAGAAGAGGTAAGAGAAGGAGTCGAATTAATTGTCCATTCTCCTCTAACCCTATTTTATTAAGATCTGAAAAATTAATGGTGACAAGTATGCCCTTAAGTGGGCGGGCAGCTTGGCAGTTACATAAAGGAAATAAACAAGAATAAATAACAGGCCCATTAAGTGTGGCCCATCAACATAAAATAAAAGATATTACAAGAGAGGCTGTTAGGGCCCATTCGGCCCAGTCTCTTTACAACTTTGAAGGTTTATTTACTAAAATGAATATGCCAAGAAGGTTTATTTACTAAAACTTAAAAAGATGACTTTTGGTTTTGGATAGCTTCTGGGTGTGTCTTTTGGTTATTTTATTATGCTCTTGGATTAAATTTGATTTCAGGTTGTGGTAGTTGACCCTGAAGCATACACTTATGACGATGAGGTGATAAAGAAAGCGGAAGCCATGGGGAAACCAGGACTTGTTGAGATTTATGCCAAAGAAGACAGCTTCATTTTCACTGTTGAATCTACTGGTGCCATTAAAGCTTCTCAATTGGTCGTCAATGCAATAGAAGTGCTAAAACAGAAGTTGGATGTTGTGCGCCCATCTGAGGAAACTGAGGAAGCTGATGATCAGTTTGGTGAACTGGGTGCACACATGCGTGGAGGATAGTTTGTCATATCACTATCCGACATTGTTTAGTGAATACATGCATTTAGATTTCCTTTGTGTCGTATACTTGGATTTATACATTTTTTTCTTTTGGGTTCTCCACAGTACACATCTTTCATTTTAAGTCGCATGATATACATCCCAGGCTCATGTTTTTGAGGATGTAATTCTATTTACTCCCCTTGAAGTTGTAACTATTGTTCACTGTGTTCAAGCAGGCTATGCCACAGTTGGGTATTTTGACCTGGCAAGGTGAGTTGATTCTTAGGTGACAACTAGGCAGCACAAATCAACAAATAAATATATACGTAATTTTTGTGTATGCTACCATATATAAGTATTACTCATTACATACTAATAAATCACATATTAAATTGGTAAAATGACCAAATTGCAGCTTTAAATTTTTTCAGAAAAAAATAACAAAGACTTCGAACAACTTCTCTGGTTCAAAGGAAAGAAATGCATACGCAAACAAGGATTAATAATCCAATGTTGATCTCTAAATATACTCCTAACACGCATGTTCAATATTATAGAGGGGGCATAATTATTTATTTCACCCACTATGTTTATATTCTTACTGCCTTCCTGGTTGGAGTCCCAGGTGATGGGCCACTGACATGCCTAGGTAGTTCTAGTACCATTCCACTAATAAAGACAAAGTTTTGACCCTTGAATTTCAATATTACCTTGTTTTCACTGTTTCTTTTATATTTAAAATCATCTGCCTTTCTTAGGACTGCAAATTGGTTGGGCTTGGTTTAGGATTTGTTAAATTTTGAATGGGCCTGGACTTGATGCAGTGATGTTGTGTAAATTCTTCGAGTTGGGTACCCAACTCTCCCTCCTAGCCATCTGAATTATCTTGGCTGCACTGCCTCAGTAAATGACATCTGAATTATGGCTTTGAGGAGTTTAATCTTGAATGTGATTATTAGCTTTAGTCAATCAATCATTGCAACCATGATATAGTCAGCTAGAAGCAGCTTAGTATGAGTTGATAATAGCAGTCAGGATGGGCTACCCCCCGTTGTGTAGCCCCATGGATTGGAGCAGAGAGAGAGAACAGTGAGCCTTATTCTTCAGAGTTCACAGTTCACAGTTCACACCATTGTAAGAGGATTAGCAAGTCACCCAAACTAAGATTAAAACTCACCGAACAAACTAAGATTAGTAAGTCATTTGGCTGTATGCTAAAGATTAAACCCCAAACCAGGTGTGATACAGAACCACTAAAAGAGTAGGGGAAACCGCGCTGAACTTGATGCACAAATGCTTCAAGACCAGTTGGATGAAGATGAAAATTGTCATTGAGGGATCTTGATCTTGTCTGTTATGTTCATCATTCATGGTCATGGGTACTTCCCAAGGATCCCTCTTAACTCTTTCACAACAATGGGAAAATAACACACTGTATAGGCTATTTAGTATTACATGGAACTCATTTCAAATACCATCGATGCATTCCACTACTTTTTTAAGCAAGGAATTAATTGCCCCTTGCATGTTATTTTAATTTTGTTCAACACAGATTCTGCCTTAAATCGATTAACCATATGATTCAGGAGCTCATCCCCTTGCTAGTAAAACAAAATACCAAAATCCAACAATGAACTTAAAGTTAAAGCTGTATTTGTTTGTGGTGTAAATATCAAGACTGGTGTTATATTATATATTATAAACCGGTTTTATAGTAATTTGAGTGGAATGCAATTGAACACCGGAAAATTACACTTACATTGAGTTTTATATTGATAATCAATGTAAATATTGACTTTGATAAAAACGATGTAAACATTTATATTGATAATTCTGATTTTCATTTATATTGAAAATAGCTTTTAAACCAATCAGGCAATCAACATATAACTAAAATGGTATAAAAGTACATTTATACTACAATAAACGCAACCTTAATGGAGACAAGCATTAAAATTTATTACTTGTAAAATAGGTGTCTGAAGAAACATTGTATCATAAGATTAATAAGATTAGTGATAACAATCTAATAATTTATATCAATATGATAAAACCTCAATCAACAATTTATATATCTTGTCTACGCCTTTCAGGTAGTTTCTACTTTCTAGTAAATACGCTAGTTTCTAGTAAATAGCAAGGCTATGGAAGTGAAGACCTGTTCAGGGGCCAGGTAGTCCGATGGGCTGGCCCGATCCGGCTCATTATTAAGTCGGGCTTGGTCATAATTTTAGGCCTATGGGTTTGGGTTTGGGCCTAAAGCACCGGGTCTGATTTTTTTCGGGTAAGATTCGAGCTTTTTTAAAAAAGACAAGCCCGAACCCGAGTCTGATTGATACTATATATTAAATAATAAAAATATATTTTATTTAATAAAAAATATTATACAATATTTTTTCTTTGTTCATCTTCTCTTTTTTTTTTCAAGTAATAGTGAAATGTTTATTATGTTTGAATTTTGAAGGTTTTTAATATAAATAAAACTCTTTTTATTGAATAAAAAAAGAAAAAAATTTCTGGCCAAACTCGGGCTCGGGCTTTATATGAGGGTTGAGGTCAGGCTCAAAACTTAGGCCTGATGGTCAGGCTGGGCTTGGGCTCGGGCCTGAGTATATTCTGTTGATGTTGATGGCCCGAACCTGGCCCATAAACAGATGGAAACGACCTCTCTGGGTTGGAGTTCACATATATATGCGGTCTACAATGTTCCACGGCACATTCCCATTAGGAACATCTCCTGATCATATCATCATTTCTGATACTATTATCGGAAGATGTTCCCAATACACGACGATGGGGATGTGATGTGGGGCGCAGATTTGAATTCCTCTGGTTGCTAGCCTATAACAAGTATCGACGAGAACCGGCCAGCTCGCATAATGAGAGAGGATTTGAGGTGGACGTTTTAGAGGTCTTTCTCAGAGCAAAGACTGCAAGAGAGTGGAAGAAGAGAGCACGAACCATGGCCACAGCTCTCTTCCACACCAATTTTCATCTCCTCCTGAAAAGAACCCACTTTCGTAACAAACACATCTCCAATTCCCGCCCTTCTTACTCCATTAAAGCTACAAAGGTAACCTCTCTCTCTCTCTTCAATTCCCATTTCACAGAGACTGTAGCTCTTTTTTTTTTTTTGTTTTCTGCTTTGAAATATTAATTCTATTATTAGATGGAGGGAAGCCCAGTTGCAGAGAACGAAAAAACAAATGTAAATGAGAGAAAGAAAATCTTCGTTGCCGGGGCTACCGGAAGCACCGGAAAGAGAATTGTGGAGCAGCTGCTAGCCAAGGGTTTTGCGGTTAAAGCTGGAGTACTCGATTTAGATAAAGCAAAAACCAGTCTTTCTGAAAACCCAGCTTTGCAAATTGTGGGTATTTTGATTTCTCTACCCATTATGATGCTCAATTCAAAGTTAGATTGGGTTTTTTCTTTCCCCTTTTTTTTTTCGATTAATCACTGTTAACTGCGGTTCTTAGGAATTGTATTCTATTCGGGTGTAAGGGATTCTATGTTGTTTTATTCATATGCAGGTGAAGGCTGATGTAACAGAGGGTCCAACAAAGCTAGCAGAAGCCATAGGTGATGATGCAGAAGCTGTAATTTGTGCTACTGGTTTTCGACCTTCATGGGATTTATTGGCTCCCTGGAAGGTCAGTCTCTCTTGTGGCAGTGGAATGGTTGAATTCTTGATTTATGCTTGATTATGCTGCTTCTTGAGTCAATAGCTTTTATGTGTGCGTTGTCTCCATGGATTCCATTGTTCATGCAGAAACGGAAAAAAAGTAATTGGGGGTTTGCTTAGTCTCTTTGTTCTACTAACGATTCATGTAAGAAGTTTACTTGTGCAAGGGCATGGAACCCAGAAAGGCCAATTTACAGTCTTCCACATAAAAAGAATTAGTTCTTGTCAAATTTATTACTGTAATTGTTTACATGTTGGTAATGTTTCACCCATACATACTCATAAAGCTTATGCAGCTTGTTTCTCTAGTTTCTCCACCTTTCTGCAGACCACTTTCACATTTCACTGTGGACTGTTAGGCCCATTTGTGAGATCACATCTTCTTCAATCACTTTTGTAAAGATCGCCCATAGGAGTATGAATTCTTTGAATAATCACTTGTTAGGTGACATTTGGAAAGGTGTGTGGTAACCTTGCAAAAGCTACATGCCCTTCCTTTGATTCTCATATTCTTGTATGTATTCAATCATATCACACCAATAGGGGTCGTTGCCTGGTGTAATGGTGGGCCGACAAGTGTGAGAATGCGGGTTCATAACATTGAACTTCATGATTCAAATCATACATGATACTATAAATTGTAACAATTTGACAACTATGCTTCTTATCAGCAAAAATATTTTCTGATGGACTCATTCTATAGTTACTACTATTGTGTATGAGAACAAAATTCAGTATTCATCCACATTTTGGTTGAATTGCTTGGAAAAACCTTATTATGCTGATTGATAATTTTACCATTATACTAATATGGTTTTCTTGCCACATTCTATGTACTTTTTTGAAACTAAAATCCAAAATAAACTTTTAAGTTCTCATCTATGACATTACATATATCTCTTCCTAGTATCTGATATTTCCTATTATTGCAGGTGGATAATTTTGGGACTATAAACCTTGTTGAAGCATGCCGTAAAAGTGGTGTTAATAGATTCATTCTTATCAGTTCTCTTTTAGTCAATGGAGCTGCAATGGGGCAAATACTTAATCCAGCTTACATCTTTCTAAATGTATTTGGACTTACATTGATCGCAAAGTTGCAGGCAGAGAACTATATCAGGAGATCTGGTATAAACTATACCATAATAAGGCCTGGTGGATTGAGAAATGATCCCCCAAGTGGAAATATAGTCATGGAGCCTGAGGTAGAGCTATAACATTTTTTCCTTCCAAATGTGTTTCCATAATCCAGGTTTGTCATCGTAACAGTTTTATCTTTTTTGGGCCTCTTTTTTAGGATACTCTTTATGAAGGCTCTATATCCAGAGATCTAGTTGCAGAAGTTGCTGTTGAGGCGTTGCTCCACCCAGAATCTTATTACAAAGTTGTGGAAATAGTTTCTCGACCTGAAGCTCCTAAACGTTCTTATGGGGATTTGTTCAGTTCTATAAAGCAACACTGATCGATCTCTCTCCCACTCTACAATCATATGCCAATTATTTTATTTATTTGTATTCCTGATTTTTGAACTAAAGCGAATTAGTACAAGATTCATTGCTCGCATTGGAATTTAATTTACTGTGATGTGATCTAGATGCAGAGAACAGCGGTCTGGTACTTTGGAAGAATGTTTTTAATGGATGGTGATGGAACACGTTTGTATGAAAAATCAGACCATGCTTCACCAAAACAAGAATCTCATGACACGCCCATTTACAAAAATAATTTGAGAGTTCAAACTAAACATTCACAAGAAGTCAAGCATATGGAAGGATAAAATTCAAAAGAACCAAGCAACCAGAGAAGCCATGGCTGCGATAGCGACAGATGCACACAGAGCTACTCCAGCATTCTCCATGGCTGGTGATGGGGCAATCTCTCCAACATCTTCAACTGCAACACTGACCCCAAAAGTGGCAAATGCTATCAGAACCATAATATAGATGGTGAATACCAACGACAACTTGCGACCCTCCATTTCTGACTAAGCTTTCTGGTTATTAGAGAGGAGAAACTGATTGTGTAGATAACTGCTGATTGCATTTAAAGAAGGCTTGGAGTGAAGAATCTGCCAATTCTTTCTATGTTGGCATAACCACAAGCATAATTATTTTAGGTCGTAGGTTGTCAATATATTTTACACATCTTAAACTTTTCCACCAGCCAACAGGCTGGAACCTGTCTTACTACAGTCCAAAAGCATTGGAGTAAATATATTTCTAACTTCTGGTTTATGTGTCAAGTACAGAGAATCTTACCAAGAAAAAAAAAAGCACAGAGAAGCAAAGCAAAGAGATGCCATGATATTTAATATAGGAGGTGTTTTTTTTGACACTATGAGTTGCAAGGTTGTGGTTGTAAAATTAGGACTAGCTGCCCCATTGTGAAGTTGTTGACATTCTGCTGTTCCAATTCTTGGGAATTATTTTCAACTTCCCTCTTACAAGTTTTTATGCATATACTTATATGCCTTCACATTAGACATAATTTTCTTGAAATATGTAAAATGTCCATATTCCTTTATCCCCATTGACAGTGAAACTAGTGAGAGGTAGAATACTTGGTCCAAGGTTCAAAGTTTGATATGTGCAAATATTTAGCTGCCATACCTTTTTTTTTTTCACCATGACGTTTCAGGTTTAGGTAAGACAGGATGGGATCATCTAAGAATAATGATTGAACCAGGAGAACCCCCACAAATCCTTTTATTGGTTTTGACAAAAAAACCAATCATCCATCCATGGTAAAAGACTTAAAACATACCCTGAGTTTATGATAAATCCCAATATGGTTTGAGATGCACAGAATATCACTTCTCCCCCTCCAACCATTAACAAGAGATGGCAAGAGAGGTTTTAACATGGATCTTGAGATTGATCAATGAGACTCGATCATTCAATTTCTGATTCAATAGTAGAGATTGATGCTTCAGCTTCGTTATAAAAATACTATTGCAGTGCTATGCTCTCCCCATCCTCCTACCACCCACTCTCATGTTAATCCCTATCAATCTGAGTCTGGATCTGCTCCTTACAAGTCACACCGACCTCACAGCATGCCCTGGCTGCACATCAGGAACATCTCCCATAATTGTATCTATTATTCATAGGGGTTCCCAATACAGGGTGGGATGTGGTTGTGATGTCGGTGTGAGGTGTGTTCTGTGAGAAGCTGATCTCAGTTCTATTAATCCACCAGGCTACCAAAAGACCACAAGCTATCCCAAAAGATAATGGCGATAGCTGTTGGAGAAACTCATAATCTCGCTCTCACAGGTATTCCATCTTCTATGAAGTAAACTTTTTTCTTTAAATTCCAAAATTTGAATTTGTTTAATAACAATTTTGGATGTCCGGGATTTTGGCATTATGGGATATGGTTGTGTATATTAATGGGGAAGATAAACTTTTAGCTAGGGTTTAACGCGATCAAGATCTACATTCAACAACTTGGTGAGAACTCCATTACTGCATGTGCATTCTTGGGCTAAATCTCTCAACCAACATGGACGAACAAAATACAACTTGTTTTATTCTATTAATATCTGGTATTGATCAAGTACTTTCAAATAAACTCCATTGAAGAATTGGAAGAAAACAATATATTTTTCTTCTCATGATCTCATCCTCTGAAGGAATTAGATTTGATTAGCCGCTACAGTAGGGTTATGCTACTGTCAGCACAGGCTGGAGCTCATCTGTCTAATAGTTGGACATGTTGTAATACGACTTGCAACCATGAAGCAGGACATTGAACCCAGCAGATCAACAAATGCAATAAATAAACAAATGAAGAGAGAGAGAAAGATCTAAAAATAAGAGCTTCTAAGCAAGACTATTTGGCATAAGCTTCAACAATTACATTCTACAAACCTGAATGAAATCTCAGAAACTACACTACCTAGCCCTTTAAATTAGTTCAATGGCTAACAGAAAAACCGGCAGAACTGCTTTTGATTCCATGGAAAAATTGCTTTTTCTTTGAAAAAGCAGCGTGCTAGAAAGAATAATGACAAAGAAGCCTCTATAAAAGAAAATCTGGGGAATCTTGGATGAGCAAGATTGCTGTTCTTCCAAAATCACAGACGATTGATCAGGGCTTGAATGCTGAGAATACCACAACTGAGTTATGTCCTCCAAACCCAAAAGAATTTGAAATGGCTGCAAAATGGTATCCAAAGATAAAATGGTAAGTCTGCCTTTGTTTGCTATCAAACAGCTAAAGATCATTACCCAATGTTTCCCAGGTATAGGGATCTTGGGAGGGGCAGACTGGATACTGCCTAGGCTATGCTTTGCCATCAAACGGTTAAAAATGAAAAATTGAGCATCAGGACTTACCAACGTTCACTTCATGCTGTTGCTTTTTATTTGCAACAGTATCAAACTCAACTGAAGGCTCTGGATTCTGCATTAATTAAAGAAATGTCAAATACCAAATCAGATAGGACCTTAGATAATGGTGAAAACCCTGAAACAATTTCTTCCTTCATTTTAGTTGTTAATGTCGTATTTCAGAAATGCTTCCAAGAAGTAATACATACAAACTGGTTTATAGTAGGATGCAGCCACCCTGTAGTAATGGCTTTTACTGTAGCAATGGCTTCTAGGCCTCCTGCTGCACCAAGGCAGTGCCCTATCATAGACTGAACACAAACAAAGATAATTAAAAGTTACAATACAAGGATGCTCATGTGTGTGTGTGTGTGTGTGAGAGAGAGAGAGAGAGAGAGAGAGAGAGAGAGAGAGAGATTTTACCTTGGTTGCATTCATTTTGATCTCCTTTGTGTTCTTGAATACCTTTTTTATGGCATTCACCTCAGCAAGGTCACCAGCGATTGTGGAAGTTGCATGTGCATTTATGTAGTTAACCTGGGAAGCAGGAAAAGTAAAGGAGTGTGGAGGTAAAAAGAGAAGTTAGTCCACTTGCTTACTGATGAGCCAAGGAATTTCTAGAGAATTTTATTCCTTTTGGCATTGAAAAATACTTCAAACAGCAATACAAAGGTTGTTGCATATTAGAATCTATTTGTCAGTTGGCAATTGCATGAAGGCTTACGCCTCCTTGTGTTCGGGAGGCTTACACCTCTTGCACTCGGAACTACACCTCACACCTCTAGGTAGTGGAACGCCTTGCGTCTTGCCTCCATGTTTTAAAACATTGGTCCAGATAAAAGCTTGGCTTGGCTGCTACAAAGTAATAATGCTGCTTAGTCACCGGCCTTACATCTAGTGAGATGCACTAGTAGATAATTCAGCTCTTCACATACAGCTTTTAATTCTGAAAAACAAAATACTCTTCAATTCCCTTATCTCCTTCCCATAAACAAAAGAATTTCTGAAATATCTATATGTTTGGGTGATATTGTCAGTCCCCAAATATATCTTATTCACATGATACTAGACATCCTTCGTTGTGCCAAGGACAATCAAGCTATTGCTAATTCTTTTCTCCATGCCATTCCAAAGCCATGTTCTGATTTGTCCATCCTCCTAAATCCAATATGAAAAGTTAGTTGCATCAAATTTGTGATTCTCTTCAACCAAATAGTGCCCTTTTCCATCAAGAACACCTCGACTGGTTTGACCCAGTGAGCATAATTAGTACCACTCAGTTTAATAGCTGTCATCTGAACCAAGAAGATATCAAATGATTATACAATAGATGTTTTCATCTCCATCTTATCAAACTTCACTTTGAAGAAGCTTCACCAAAAACTTAAGTAACTCACCTGTACAACTGCTGGACGATCATATGCATTACTTCAAAATGGTTTATATTCAATCACAAACACTTTTTATAAATCACCAATTCATACCCCAAAATTGTACTTCATCACATAGTTATCACTCCCCAACTAACCATGTTCGCATCACTTCCAAGGATCCGAGTCAATTCATCCATAAAATTCTTCTCACCAGACACCAGTCACACCCTCTGTGGATGCCAAATAGAGGGTTTACACCATAGCACCAACACACATCGATCACAAGTAGAAAAAGGAAGAAAACTGATTGAACCAAGGAATTTGATCAGAATAGCTTTAATTTGAATTGCCCTCATACAGAGATCAGTTCAATAAGTTATAGATGAAGAATAAGAATGAGGGAACCTAGCATATCAGATTCTAATACTTCAATACATGTAACCTTTTGATCCAACCTGAGAATAGTATAAAGGAAAAGACAAGAGGAGAACCACAAAAGAGAGATGAGTAGAAGAGAAACAAGGGATTGTGGAGTTCAGATTTCTTGTCCCATCACATATGTGGCATTTAAGTTACATGCTGGACCATAACTTAAAAGAACAAAAAGAACTTCATACCCCTAATAAGTAACCTCTTCTTGATTGACAAAAATACTCCTGTTTACACACCTTAAACATAAAACATAAACAGAATATTAACATTAACCCCTTAATACTGTTTTCCTTAAGCAACAGATACTTGTTTAAAACCCAAGTATACAATAAAAAACCAGGTGGAAAACAACAATTGGAAAAGGGACTTGCAGCTTTAAGCATATTTAACAAAGAGTAGATATATTCAACTATGAGTAAATGCTTCTTCATTTAGGTGACAGAGGAAAAACATAAATGTTAAATATAAAAAGTCCAAAAAATTTTCTTCTGTACAATCTGTGCAATCCAGAAATAATCAACCCATCATAATGCTGAGAACAAATAGATGACAACAAGGAGAGTACCTCCTCTGGTGACACACCGGCATCTTCAAGGCTACTCTCAATGCATGATGAAACACCAAGTCCATCAGCCCTTGGATCAGTCATATGATAAGCATCACAGTTAACTGCACCTCCCAAATATTCAGCAATAATTGGTGCACCACGTTTCATTGCATGTTCCAAACTCTCCATTACCTATCAAAAGAATCACCAAACCTTATCAACCAACAAGCAAGACACCTTATTATATATGTGAGAATGTTTACTGCAAAGAATCATTCACTGTTAATAAAGAAATATTAGCTAGATCCAATCTGTAGTAAAGTTCAGGTAAACTGTGGTAACGAGTCATAAACAGATCTGCCTCAACTCCAACTTCACTCATGTCCCTTAAAAATGATGGCTTAGTCATTAGGGTGGGTGGNGGTGGGTGGGTGGGTGTGTGTCTGTGTGTACAGACATGCATCGACAGATTTTAACTTCCACTCCATCAAAGTTACGCTGAGGTTTAGACTTAAACTTCCACTGAAACCAAATTAAATCCAATGAAAAGCTTCCACTTCATGGCAACAGAAGGGAAACTTACATAATCGAAGTTCAGGTCACAACTTTAATTTTCAATGAGTTTTAATTATTGCAATCAGCATGTTATGCACATTGCATAAAAATACATTATGTCAGTCACAACACAAAAGCACACCAACTAAAACTCTTAAAAAATAACAGAGAAAGAAGTGTCTTTATGCCAACAATAATGAAAGGGAAGATTCTTTCTAAAACTTAAACAGCAAAATAAAACAAAGTTATTTGAAAACCTCAAATGAGCACGGATGAATGTTCTTTGTATTTAATTCTAACAGAAGATGCACTACCTTATAATCATGAATATGAATTATTTATATATAAAATTTGGATTTCAAGTATATCAAACATGCCCAATGACATACATCACTTTCTATATTTTATGTTCTAGGAGCCATTGGTTGGTCAAATGGTAAAATCTTGGGTGACAAACTTTATGTGGGTTCAAGTCTGAGAGTAACCACTTTGTACAAAAAAAATGCCAAAGATTAGGTCCATATCCAGTCTACCCCTCCTAAGAGTCTAAGACTCCAGATAGCTGGGACCAACAATAGGTAATAGCCTTTTTATTTTATATAATTGTTCTAATTGTTTTTTTTTTTGGTAGAAATTGTTCCAATTGTGTATATGAGCCCCAAATGTGTATTGAGGTTTATTCTATTAATTTTAAAGATTAATCATAGATTTCCAACACTTTCATAGTTTCTATAATTTTACGATGTTTCTATGAGCTTCTGTAAATGTCCACAAATTAATTCCTCGTCCACATGGACTTTAGTTTACCATGAAATGAAGTTTATGACTTTTCCTCTAAGGTAATCTCTCCTTAAGATGCACATCCCAACTGCCACTGAACAAAAAGGAATTATGCATGATAGTGAACATAAATAAACCAAAATGTAAAATATGCCAGAAACACACATGCAACATTTCTCTGTGATAAAGATTCCTCCAAAACTTACCAATACTCCAGCACCTTCTCCCATAACAAAGCCATCTCGATCCTTGTCCCAAGGCCTTGAAGCAGTTTGTGGATCATCATTTCTCTGTGATAAAGCTCTACATGCAACAAAACCACCTAATCCAATCGGAATAATTGCAGCTTCAGTTCCACCAGCAATCATTAAATCAGCTTCACCTCGCCGGATGTGGTTGGCAGCAGCATAGAAGCAATAATTGGAGGTAGCACAAGCAGTTGATATCGAATAGTTTGGCCCCATGAAACCAAGTTCAATTGCAAGTAACGCAGATCCCATGTTTGTTATAGCATAAGGAATAAAAAAGGGAGTGATTTTTCTGTGACCTTTCTCTATTAGAGCTTGAACACCATTAGAAAACACTGTAAGACCACCCATGCCCGTCCCAACAAGCACACCTGCTCGTTCCTTGTCGATCTGAAGAAAACATAAATTCAACAAAGGATAAGGTGTGATAATATAAAATGTAAGTCAGTGAAACTTCTAGAAAAACAATGTTGTAATTAAGTGAAGTTCATTTCAGCTTACAAATCATTTCAAACTAAAATGAGAAATTTGATCATATAAAACAAAGAAAGAAAAACTCCTAAGTTCTAATGCCTATTACACACACACACACACACACACACACAGAGAAGGGTAACTACAGTATCAATAATCAAGAGAAATGAAAATTTCAAGAAATAATATCATTGCTACCATTTTTTACAGAAATTATACCATGCATAGAAGACTGAAGAAGTGATTTGTTACACATTGAAGGGGCTAGAAGAGCTCCGGATAGACCAAAAAGGACATGAGTAGAAGTAGTAAGAAATGATTTAAGCATTAATAATTTAACAGTGGATATAGCTTTAAATAGAACGGATTGGAAAAACAGGATTCATGTAGCTGACCCATATAGTTGGGATACAGCATGGATGATGATAAAGAAAGTTCATTGTGGAAACACCAAACTTAGCAAGTATCCCATAGAACCATTTCCCCGGTACCTCTACGAAGTACAAACTCTGTATTCCCAACTAGAAGCTCTGACTATCTGCTTTATGCTAAACAAAAACGACTGGCTGTTTGGAGGCAAGTCAGGTAACACAGAGCATCCTCCTAGACAGCAGGAGAGCCACGTGATTTTCCATTTCTTGTCTTGCAAATTTTAACGTTTTTAATTATTTCCTAAAAATTTTCAGAATCTGGTGTCCTGTTCTCCAGAATAAACTGAAACAAAAAAGAGGTTTTGATTTGGAATATAAAAATAAAAAAAGTTACAGCAAATAGGGGTTATAGTTTCTGTAAGTGATTATTGTTCACTTACTTAGGTAGAGCACTATGTAGTAATCTCATTTCAGTCAATTACAGGCAAACGGCATTTTGAAATCAAAATACACTACATTGTTAAAAAAAAAAAAAAAAGAAAGACAAAAGAAAACAGACGTAAATCAGTAAGAATGAAAATTTTATAACAACGTCGACGAATCTGAGAAATACGGCATCGTTTTTACAAATGAATGATAAGGAAAACTGGGAAACCCAACATGCTGAAGAATGAGCCAAACAGCAAACATGTACGAACATACGAAGAGAATTTACGAAACCAACTGAAGACAAAATCACAAAAAATTAATGACCTTGGAGAGATTATCACCGCGTAGACCAGCATTTTCGAGGGCCATCTTTCCAGAGACCAGGCAGTAACGGAGGCAATCGTCGAGGCGACGGTCATTCTTGCCATCAATGTAACCCTGGGAAGTAAATCCCCGTATTTGACCGGCGAACCTGGTGGGGAATTTGGACGCATCGAACCGATCGATAGGAGCAATGCCGCTTTCTCCAGCGAGGAGACGGTCATAATAGGTATCAACGTCGTTACCGAAGACGGAAACGAGGCCCATCCCAGTGATGACGACTCTCTTCTTGGGGTCCGTCTCTCGCTTGGGAGCTGAAGTTGTTGTTGACACTGCAGCGCAGATCGGAGTGGATGCGTTCTTCTTGGTAGTGATGGGCTTGACATTGGTGAGTTGAGGGGACTGTTTGCGGAGAGGCTCCAGTGGAGAGATTCGAAGTGCTGGTGAGTGAAGGGCCTCCATGTATTGTTCCTCCGCCGCTACTGGTGGTGATGGGGAAGATTCGGGAGAGAACTGCGGTGGATTGCGAGAGAGAGTGTTATTTGGTAATGAGAAACGGGAAAGTTCTACTTTAGTATTTGGGGTAGTGTCAAGTTAGTACGAAAAAGAAGCCTATTCCAATTGTACTTTGGGTCTAAAGATTTTGACAGTGAGCTGAACCATCGTTCTTCAATTGGTCGTCAATATATGTGATCGACATGTGTACCTAAAGCTTTTTGAAAATATTAAAACTATCCTTCAAACAAGAAAATGTTCGTTATCTTCTATTTTAAGGACAGATGGACATAGTTGGCCAATAAAAAGGCCGAGGAGGCCGTAAACATATTTATGGCTCCTTGGTACATAAAGACTGTAGACACTTGTTGGAATCAAGACAAAAACATTCCCAACCCCGCAATGAATGATGTTGGTAACTTGATTTTGAAACGTTCAAAGTTCTCACCAAATGCAATACGGAGTTGAACAAAAGCACTAGAACCATTTCCACAGGAATTTTTTCCGCTTGATCCACGAAACCGATTACAAACAAGACAAAAGATCTGTGAAAATTAAGAAACCAGAAACAAATTTCAAAGACTAGTATGGGAAAAACTTGCAGATCCAACGGAATTACAAAGATAATTCTGACGTGATGGGATTGAAGCAGTCTGAAGACATCGATTTCAAAGAGGAAACAAAATGAACACGGAAAGCGGTAACTTGATTTTGGTCCCCTACTCCCCCTCAGGCCACAACCACAGCTTTATCTGTATATATGTTCTCATCTCTCTCTCTCTCTCTCTTGATGAATCGTGAATAATTTTATTAGGACGAAAATAAAGTAAACTGACAAGTGGATACAATCTAGAGTTCCCCCAGAAGGTGTGAGTTGCTACCTTCTAAAACAAAAGGAAATCAAAATAAAATTACAATTGAGTCCATAACAAGTGATCTCTGTTCATCCCTTGCTTAGCTAGTAAGTCTGTCAGCCCATTTGCCAACCTCCTCTCCCACTAAACTCTCACTGTGAGATTAGAAGTAAGCCACTTAAATCTCCTTATCTCTCCCATAAAAAACCAATTTGTTGTCTCTGGTTCTTTTAGCCACCCAGTTATCACTTTAGAGTCACCTTCAATGATCAATCTCCCAAAGTTTAACTCTTTAGCAATTTGTGCACCCTGTATAGCTGCTTGCATCTCTACACTAACCACATCCCACACCATTTGGGCCGGCGTATAAAGCAACAATCTGTCTTCATTCCTAAACACACCCCCAATGCCAGAAGGTCCAGGATTGCCAAGGTTGTTGCCATCAAAATTGAGCTTTTATGAAGTCTTCTTCTGGGGGTTTCCAGTCAACTACAAGTTTGTCCTTAGCTAAACAGGAGTTTTTCATAGATTCCAAATTTCTCCATATGTCATCAAAGGAGAAAAGTGAGAATAACTCCAAAGTTTTAGCCCATCTAATAGCCCTTATTAACAAACATTCCCAAACAGTAGCTACATCCCTTGTATCATCGTTAAAAATCCTATCATTTCTTTCTTCCCATACTGTCCATACTAAAGTAGCTCTTACACATCTCCATAACACTCTAACTCTTCTCTTAGACCACCTAAAAGTTGTAGGGTCAAAAAGCCCCCTTGATTTGCAGTGGCATATTCCACACACGCCCAAAAAGACCAAAAACTTCTCTCTCCATTTGCTTTGCAAAGGACACACCAGTTTGGGGAGATGCAAAGGTTGGGCCTTTTCTTTTTTGCAAGGTATCTAAAGCGTTTAATTTCCCAAGAGAGACTTCCCAACAAAGGGCTCCAACCTTGGGGGAATGGGCTTAGACTAGACTTCCTTCCAATAGAAAGCCTGAGGGTTAGGAGCTGAGCACAATTGTGTGAAAAAAGAGGCACAAGAAAAAAGACCCAAAGAATTCGAAGTCTAGACTCTAGCCTAGGTTTAGAAAGGTCCAAAAAAACAAAGCCTAGGTTTTTAGCAACAAAGCAGCCTGATCAAGTTCAGAGTCTCTCAAATCTCTTTTGAAACCCAAATTTCAATTAATGCCTGAGGGTTGGGAGACAGAAACAAAGGTTTGAATGGGTTTGCTTTTAAAAAGGGAGAGAGAATACAAAGATGAATAAGGGTCTTTAAGGGTGGACATGCCAATCCAAGTGATTTTCCCAAAAGAGAATCCTATCACTTGTACAAAGGTCATACCTGATAAGGCTAAGAAATTGGAGAAGGATACCATGAATAGCCTTCCACAGAGAACTTAGGTAGCCTATTGAGACACTCCAGCATCCCAACCATTTCCTACATAACCATGAATACTTCCCACCACCCTATGCCACAACCTCCCTTTCTCTAATCCATAACCATTTACCTAACAAAGATTCATTCTTCTTCCCAATATTGCCTAACTCCAAACCCCCTTGCTTCTTACTTCTATAGACTAAGGGCATGTTCATTTACTCTTAACTCTTGTCTCTTAAGAGAAATCTTTTAACTTTAAGAGAAAAATGGTTGTTCATTATTTCTTATTTCTTATCACTTAAAGTGCAATCATACAACTTTTTATTTTCCAATGATACCCCCAAAAAAGACAAACAAAAACTCTCATATATGTTCAAAATGGATATTTGATAATTTTCATAATTCAGAACAACATTCTCTACATTCAGAGTTCAGAGGAAAGAACAATTCACCAATACCAATGTATCTCTTAATGTAATTATTGCACTTTCAGATGTTAGACTTCAGAGCAAACGAACAAGCCCTAAATCCCATCTCACTAGGTGATCATTCCTTCTTTCACTAGGCTCCCACAAGAAGTCCCTCATGATCTTTTCTAATTTCACTACCTCCCTTTTTGGCATCTTAAATACTGAGAGGAAGAAAACCAAAAGGTCTGCTAAGGTAGACTTAATTAAAGTAATATGACAACCTAGAAACACATAATTCCTCTTCCACACTAACAGTCTCTTGGCACATCTTTCAAGAATTGGGTTCCAAAAACTTCCTTCCCATGGGTTGGTTCCTAATGGCAAACCTAGATATTTCAAAGGCCGCCTAGCAATAGGGCAACCTACGGCTACTGCAACCCTATCCATCTCTTCCTCTCCCGAGTTCAATCCCACTACACATATCTTTTCAAAATTGATCTTTAACTTAGAGACAAATGCAAACAATTTGGTCACCTATTTCAAAATTTTTTCCTTCTGAGGATCAATACTCTCACAAAAAATAATTGTATCATTAGCAAACTGCAAACGTGTGACAACTATGTTCTCTCTCGCAACCCTCTATTCATTAAAAAGTCCGATGCTATCAACTCTTACTAAAATATTACTAAACACCTTAGCTACTAAGGTAAATAGGAAAGGAGAAAGGGGATCCCCTTGCCTCAAACCTTTAGTTGTTGGGAAAAAGTCTTTGACCACTCCATTAACTAGGATTGAATAATGACAAGTCTTTAGACATCCTTTTATCCATTCACACCATCTCTCTCCAAATCCAAAATTTTTCAAAGTGTCAAGAGGAAGAACCAATTGACTATATCATAAACTTCTCCAAGTCCAATTTACACATAAAACCTTTCTTTTTTTATTTTTTATTTTTTTAAATCCTTCACACATTCATTAGGTATCAAAATTTGATCATTGATCTATCTACCTTTAATGAATGCCCCTTAGAAGTGGCTTATCAAATCAATGATCTGTCTACAACTCTCTCTCTCTCTCTCTCACACACACACACACATTACCGTCATCTGATTCCTGTATTCATTGTTGTGTTTGTGCTTCCGACAACAAAGTCATTCTTTTCCTGTCTCTTGGGCTTGAGCCTCAAGAATCTAAAAAGAGCAAAGTAGTCTTGAATCCATGTTCATTAGTGCACCCACCCGCCTTATTGAATTTTCCACAGTACTTGGGAGCCAAGGATATGGAAACCAATTGCCTGTTGGCAAAGAATTCGTACATATCTTCAACTATTTGCTCACAAGTTTTAAGAGGAAACAAAGTTGTTAATCACGTATTGCGAGCAAAACAAAACAAAACAAAACAAGAAAAAAAAAAAAGTAGAAAGATGCGTAGTTAAATACTAGTAGTAAACACAATATATGAAAAATAGATGATAGGTGAAGGACATTTTTGTCCTTTTACATTCTACTCAACATCCGTTAATGGTTTTGGACCTTTTGAAAATTGGGTCCTTGTGGAATTTTTCATTTGACAATCTATGCAACCGGAAAGGTATTGGTACCTAAATAAATTTTATCCAATAATAAATGAGAAACCCACAATTCGAGCTTAGCACTTCGGCTAGAATGGTTGGGCTCCCTCAAGTCAACTCTACCTTCTCGGCAGTCGAGTTGGTAGTCTCATCCCGCTCAGCCTGACTTATCTTATACCTACTTTGTAAAGACATCCATTCCCGAGGGTCGATCCGAACTCTCAATCTTTAACATAGACTCACAAGAAGTGGACCAAGTACTGCCGGACGGGTCCTCCGAATTTAGGAGATCATACACCTTTCAATTTGACTCTACAGACATGGTGGTAGTCGGTAGAATCATCAATTTATTGAAGACCGAAAAAGGACGGACGAAGACTTAGGTGGCGTTTGGTACGATGTTTTTACACATCGTCAGACTCGTTTGGTGTTACGTCTGAAGATTGGTCTGAAATTTGTTTTCATATCTGAACGCCACTGACTTTCATTTTCAGACCGTGTTGAAAGAAAAAAAAAATACCCACTCTTCGTTTTTCATTTAACTTGAAAATTTGGATTCGAACTTCTATATTCTCCACTCGACGCCGTGGTGAATCAAACGGTGGCAAGCTTCTCTCCCTCCCCCTCTCTCTCCCTTGATATTATCTGCATCCCCTGCTTCATAGATCTTTAAATCTACCCAGAGGGAACTCGTATCCATGGAGCAACCTCATCTTTTCACAGGCCTTAGGAGGTCGTCCCCACACTTAATGACGAGTCTCCCTCGGAGGCTTTCTGACCGCGACCAAGATGTCAGGCATCACCTTAATGAGCCACGTGTTCCTACAATTTTCTTGTTCTCACCTCGCCCTTAAATTTATCACACCCTAGGGCCTTTACATCTTTTTTGTGGGCGTAGGTAGGACCTTCGACCAAATCACCTTGATAGTTTTCAAATAAAAAATACAAAATTGTAGAAATGCAATAAAGAAAAAGAAAATTAGATAAACCACTAAAGATTGCAAAAGAAAAAAAATACAATATGAGATACCACACCTTTAATATGCCTATTTTTGTTTTTTTTTTGTAGGCCTATTCTTTGTTATTTTGGTATTTTCTTCTCTTCATCATTCATCAAACTATTGAGCATTTTTAGTAATTTTACTTCTTACCTACGTTGTCAAGCTCGTTAATAACGAAAAAACAGTTTAATGGGGTAGAGTGGCAAAGCATTGGAAAATTCCTTGTCAGTATCTTCCTGTACTTTAGGGGGTTATGTGTCAAGTCAGTCCCTAAACTTGAGGTCGCTGTTAACAATTAAGTGAAATGACGGAAATACCCATCATTTCCCTAAACGAGAAACAAAATGAAATAAATGCCACTACCTAAAAACCCCTTATTTGTCCCATGGGCACCATGTTCAATCGGTTAACGTCGTCAAAGAAGACAACAAAACCCTTGTCGTTGTTGTCTCCAGAGAATAAAGGTCAAAAAAATTACATTTTCTCCCTATTTTTTGTCATCTTCACTAATGTTAAATGATACCCATGTTCCTTGTGTGCCCAGGGTTTAGGTTGTCTTTGGGTTTGAATCTAGAGTTGTTTCACACCATCACCCCTGTGATGAACTGGCAGTAGATACTACAATACCACAATGAACCCGCAATTCACCAAATCTAGTCAGCACCCGAACCTAAAGAAACCATATTCGGACCCATCCAAAGGTCACAAGCCCACCTATGTGCGCGATAAAGCTACGCCCATTAAGGCGTGCGATGAACTCACAACTTGCAAGCCCGCCCGCGACGATGGGTCAAAAGAGACATAGACTGGGCCCATGACAAGGCATGCAGACCTCTTGATAGCAAAAGACCTTATGAGCCGCCACATAGAAGCGGTGAGACGCCAACCACCGAAAGTGATGTCACTGATGCCACGTATAATTAGTCATGGCGCACAAAAGGATAGTAGCACATGTGAGTAATGAGAGATCTCAAGGATAAAGAAAGCTAATCCTTGAGAAGATCCTCATGAAACACATGGCAATACTCCATTACTACATCTAATAATTGACAGCAAATCAAATATCCCCTTTCCTGATACAGAACGAATATCCCCATCTCTTACCTTTTAGGATCTCTGGATCTCCTCCATAAATAGGGATCATCCTCATATTGAAGGAGTTATCCAATCTGAGCATTTCTGTGCTATCAGTACCCTCGAGTATCCCCAACACTCCCATTCTCTAGGACCTTAACCTGCATCTTTCCCCAGACCCCAGGCCTCTCTTTGTCCTTCAAAAAGACCGCCCCATCTAGCCTTACCCCCCATACTACAGGAGGTATCTCATTTTTTATGGTTTTTTTTTTGTTACTTGTTTTGGAAATTAATCACTTGTAATTACCTAAAACCTTGCCCGAACCAGAACATAGAGATAACCTTAGCAATATTGTTAAAATGAGAACAAGCCCAATCAATAGGTTTTCCTTACTAGAAATTTGATTTGCGGGCATCAAATTTACATTGGAATTGATACAGAGATGGTTTCGATGACAAAGATGATAGTTGTTGACCTATGGAGCTAATATACAACCCTACACCCCCCTCTTCTACTCTAATCCCAGTCAACATTGTTTCTCTCAACTAACTCTACTCATCATATTCCGAATCTTCACTTTCTTGATCCTCACCACTTTCCTGCAATTAGATGAAGACATTATTAAAAATAAGAAGATAGGGCAAGATTATATAAGCCAACCATGCCAATTGTGGAAATCCAAATTAGTGGCTTAGAGAGGCTGGATTACAAAGCCAATTAAGAAAAAAAGTAACAGGTAAAAGATTAAAAAAAAGGCAAAAGCCTTGAGTTCAGTGAATAAGCTACCTTTCTCTTGATATACTCCGCCATTGCCTCCTCGAACTCTGCTCTCTTTTCTGTGGCGATGTCATAGTATTGAACTTTTTCCTAGAAAAGGACAAAAATTAAAAGCTAAGATGTTAAGGTAGTTGTCAAGGTAAAACTTTTTCAGGGGTCACCATGTGCCTTCATGTTTTTATATCATGGTATACAAATTTTTGGTGTAGTGCAGCTAAATCACATCATATTATGTAAAAAAGGTAAAATGGTATAAAGAGTACCATAAAAGCAAAGGCTTTAAAAATCGACCCGAAAACAAAAACCGTTTTGACCACCAGTTTCCAGGTCAGCAGTTCAACCGTCCAGGCCGAGTGGTTCGAGCAGGTTGATTTATTTGACCTATTAGGGTAAGGGTAAGAGGATGATGTGTGTGTGTGTATCTATATATATTATGAGAAAAGAGAGAAGTTGCTGTCGGCTGGGAAAGGAAAGAAAAGAAAGAAAGAAAGGGAAGAAGAAGGAGGAGGAGGAGGTGGCGGCGACTCAGATCTCGCAGATCTCTCTCTCTCTCTCTCAGAGCAGTGATTTCAGGTCTGATATCTAATTTCAATCCCTCCCCCCATCTCTTCTCGATCTCTCTGTACATGCTCTCTTAAAAAATTAAATAACAAATATTTTATTAAACCGTGAACCGCTTTCTAGAGTCTACCTGTTTAGTGGTTACACCGCCCAGGTCAGCGGTTTTTGACTAATTCAACGGTTTTTTCAGAAATAGCAGTCCACTTGAAAAAAGGACCCAGAGGTATGACTGTTTCCTGGGTCAAACGGTTCAACCATCCACTCTGGTCCGATTTTCAAAACAATGCATAAAAGGTAAGTTTTCAATTTAGAGAGCATGACAGAGGCTTTATCCCCATTTTTTTACTTTCCTTCTTTGATTTGTCATACAATACAAAGACATTATATTCCCCGTGCCTCTTCACATTAATAGAATCACTTCTAATGTTTGCTTGCTGCTTCAACTAGGGAAACAAGTTGAAATTAACCAAATCATCATGGTTACATGACAAGGTGGCTCTCTTGTTGTCTAGCCTTAACACCTTCAATCTTAAGATTTTCTTGCCAACAGGATAAAGTTACATTTTCACATCAAGGCAAAAAGAAAGCAAGATTATCAAGCATAAATGTCACTCATGAACAGCAAAGCATTGCTAAAGAGCAACAAGTTAGGTTCCATTTAGGTCCCTTGCTGCATCGTCTGAATGGCTAACAAGATAAACTAGTTTACTATGCACAGTAATGCTGAAGAAACATAAAAGATGCTAGTTGGTGTCCTGGACGTTTGATGGTACCTAGGTGGAAAAGGATAAACCTAAAGCCTTTTTGCAAACAGGGGATATCTTGTGACTCAATTCTTTTGTTTAGAGTGGCTGAGGAAACCCTAGAGCATGGTGATTTGACCTAACATTACAGAAAATCAACTCGAATTAACAGCACATGCTCTGCTGATGCAGTGGGTTGGTTAACCATAGAAGGTTAGAATAAATCATGTGGTCCGGCGTCTCACAAAATAAGAATGCAGCAGAAAAAATGTTTCAGAAAATGAGTACAGGAAAAAAGAATTTCAAGTAAGTATTGAGAAATAAAAAAGGTTCAACATCAATTCAAGAACTAGAACTACCAAGAATTAGTCAAGAACCTTTCATGAATACATGGCAGCATGTAGTAAGAGAATCAAAAAAAAAATCAGGTTAAATCACAAGAAATAGAAAAAGGGTTAGATTTTACACAGGAACGGAGAAAGGTTAAAAAAATAACATCAATTCTAGAACCACAGCCAGTAACTTTAATGCATCAAACTATCAATCTATTGCTCTTCTGGCCTTGCATAAATATTTAAGAGAAAGACAGAGAGAGAGAGAGAAAGAACAAAGATTGGTCCACATCATACAAGTTGACCCCACAACTAAGAATAGTCCAAGATTATCAAAGAACACCTTTAAGAGAAAAATATGACCCATCAGCACACTAAAAAATAAATAAATATTTAAATTTAAAGATAATTTGATTCTAGCCATAAATCTGGTAAAATTATACACCATAAACCTGCCACTAGAACCCCACATTCAAGGGAAATCAGTGATCTCTTACATACATGAGAATTCTTCTTTGATCTAAGAACCATCATCCAAGAGTGCTTCAAGATCGCATCTTCAAATCATCTAGAGATCAAGGGTGTGCTGCCTCTAGGTCTTTTTGGTTGTTAAATTTTATTTCTTTTTGTGATTTCTGGGGGTGTGTTGCCTCCCCTCTTGTACCCCTTTCTTCCATTTTATCAAAAAAAAAAAGAAAAGAAAAAAGAAATTTTCTGATGTGGTTGGCCCACTAAACACTGTAGGCCCCACTTCTGATATTTGCTAGTTTTCTATGGGGCCTCTCATATATGCTAAGAATGAGTTCTGAAGCTGTTAACCTTTTTTTCTTTCTTTTCAATCTTATAACCTTCTATAGGACTTGAAGTGGATCAAATTGATATAACCATACAAATGCTACAGCATCAAGGTAAAAAAGAAAAAAGATAAGTTTTTATAGGCACAACTTTACCCAGTGCTGCATGGACACAGACATGAGAATCGGAATTAGATGCCTGTCCAAGAGCCTGACTCGGCAAGATGAGAAAACATGGAGTCACAGACACATCTATGGAAAAGTATATACTATTAAAATATTTCATATTTTTTGAATTCTAACATTATATACCTATAAAAAATGTTTCTTTCATTAGTTGTTTGATGCAAAAAATGGATTCTTGTATATTAGTTGTTCATTTATGTCAAATAAGCTAGGAGATAAAAAGAAACGTTACATAGAAGTGCCCTCACAAATTCATGAAGTGTTGGGCTCCAAAATGTGTCCAACAAGACACATCATCCATTTAGGAGAGTTCATGCAACATGATTTTTTTTTTATCAGAAACGATAACTTTCATTAGAGATAAGTTAACCTGAAATACAGAATTCAACCCTTATTAGAAAAGGTTGATCCAATAAACATCAAACATTACAGCACTGCCCAAAAAAGACTCTCCCTTGCAATCCCTTGTTTTGCTAGGGCGTCAGCAAAACCATTTGCTGATCTCCTTACCCACTTGAACCAAACACCCACCTC